GGTCACTATGGGTCGGAACTGACTCGACAGCACTTAACAACAACAACAACACACAATTAAGGGTAATGTGGTGGCCCCATACAATAAGTACTGGACTGCCAACCACAAGGTCTGTGCTTCGAGCTTGCCAACCACTCCGTGGGAGAAAGATGAGGCTTTCTCGTCCCACGAAGATTTAAAACCTTGGAAACGCTATACAGGGTGGCTATGAGTCGAAACTGATGACGCTTAACAACAACAACAACAACACGATTGAGGAAGGAATCCTGCTCGGTGCTATAGGATAAGCATTTGACTGCTAATGACAAGGTCGCAGGTTCAAACCCACCAGTCACTCCTCAGAAACCCTATTCAGGGTCACTATGAGTAAGAACCAATTCCATGGCACTTAACAACAACAACAAACGCTATTAAGGTGGTAACAGATAGACACCACCACTATATCAATCACTACTATTGTTCTTTCAAAGGGATTGGTGTTGTTACTGTTAGGTACCGTCGGATCGGTTCCGACTCATAGTGACCCTATGCACAACAGAGCGAAACGCACCATGATTGGGTTGTTGTTGTTAGGAGCCATCGAGTTGGTTCTAACTCACAGCTAGGCACAAAAGAATGAAACGCTTTCCGGTCCTGCACTACCCTCACAATTCTCGTTGTATTTGAGCCTATTGATGCTACCGCCTCGATGAGGGTCTTCCTCTTTTCTACTGCCCCTCCACTTTACCTAACATAATGTCCTTTTTTTATGTGACAGACAGTAGTGATACTAAAAAATGTGAACCATAAGAGCAGCCACTATAACCTTCAGCCAAGTCAAGAGATAGAACTCATATCAGTCCTTGAAATACAGTCATGGCCTGACTTCCATAGGACGGTCAAGCCTGTGGAAGCCAACACCTGGTGTGGAGAGTGAAAACCTGTCAGAGAAGGGAAACTCAACTTTTACTAATAGAAAAGGGGTAAGCAGCACCCTGTCAGAGACAGAGAACTTTTAGGAGCGAGATAAACATGGCGGTTCCAGTGAGCTGAATACTCACAGGTTCCACCATGTTTCTTTGTAGCCTATCTATCGCCCAAATGCATGCCCCTCAAACCAGTTGCTGGTGACTTGTAGCGACCCCGTGTGTTTTAGAGCAGAACTTTGCTCCTTAAGATTTTCAGTATCTGTGACTTTTGGGAAGCAGATATCCAGGCCTTTCCTTGGAGGTACCTCTGGATGGATTCAAACCTTCAACCTTTCTGTAGCTGAGTGCTTAACCATTTGCACCACCCAAAGCAAAACCCATTGCCTTTGAGTCAGTTTTGACTCAGCAACCTTATAGGAGTGAGTAGAACAGCCAACCCCATAGGGTTTCCAAGGCTATAAATCTCTAGGAAAGCAGGCTAGCTACCACATCTTTCTCCCTTAGAGAGACTGACAGGTTCAAATGGCCAACCTTTTCAGTTTGCAGCTAAAAGCTTAACCACTGCATCACCAGGGCTCCTTTCAACCAGTCCTTATTTGTATTACTCCCACTGTCTTCGAGTTGGTTCTGACTCATGTGACCCTGGAGAACAGAATAGAGCTGCCCTGCAGGCTTTCTGAGACTGAGATCCTTTTAGGAGCAGACAGCCTCAGCTTTCTCCCATAGAACAACTGGTAGCTGTGAACCTCAGACCCAGCAACCCAAGCCTTTAACCCACTTTGACATCAGGCTCCTTCCTTATATGTATTGTTGTTGAGTGCCTTCGAGTTGGTTCTGACTCACAGCGACCCTATGTCGGGTTTCTGAAGAGCAGCTGATGAGTTTGAACCTCTGACATTTTGGCTCAAACTGACTTTGAGGTCGAGTGCTGGTAGTTTCGAACTGCTGACTCTGAGGTTAGCAGCCTGATTCGTAACCACTACGCTATGAGAGTTCCTATATGATTAAATGTATATAAAGGGTATTTATGTGTAAATGTGAGCTTATGCAAGGGCTCCTGTGGGGTATACAATGCAAGAGATTATGGGAGGAAAAGGATGTGCTTGTGTGCACATAAACGTGTGTGTTGTGTGTGCAATGCTCACACATGCACTTGGCTTACTGTCAGAACCCCAGCCTCTCCACAAACAAGTCCCAGGCCTTTGAACGAGCCATTGAGGCTCTTCGTGACTTGGTGTTCTCATCTCTCTGAAGACCCAGTGACTAATGTGTGTGGAGCTCTGATCCTTGCCAGCAGGGCCCACAGGGAGACTTCTGTGGGAAATATTCCGTGTCGGGGCTGGTTGCTGACACGCCAGCTTTGCTAAGTGCCCAGGCTGTGCCTGTCTGCCTCTCCTGGCCTACAGAGCTGGCCCTGATGGATTCCATCCTACTACCTCAGAAGGTCTCTTAGTTCATTTCTCTAATTGACATGTGTGGCACTGTGGGCTAATGCGTCAGACTGCAAAGTCATTTGAATTGCAAGGTTGGTGGTTCAAGCTCACCAGCTGCTCCTTGGAAACAGGGTTGGAATCGACTCGATGGCACTTAACAACAACAACAATGGTCCAGAGAGGGAGAGGGGCTTGTCCAAGGACATTCAGCTCACTCAAGGCAGAGATGGGGCTAGGTTGGTGTCAGCCTCGTGTCCTTCCATGTGTGGTGGGAAATCCTTGTCGAGGTCAGAAGCTACAGCCCCTACCCCTCACTGCCTCTGCCACTGCTCCATGACCCCCCCCCCTTACCCCATCCTTTCACCCCTCCCTTACTATCCAGCTGTCAGACTCCTGGGCTCCCGGGAAGCTACTCCCAGGAGATAGGTGTGTGTTTTGGCAGTTGGTATTGTCTGAGCTACAGGGCTAGGGCTGGGTGGCTGCCCCAGAAGGAATCCTATGTGTCTGGGGAGGACCCGGCTCAGTAGCCCAGCACATCCCCTCCTGAGCCAGGGCTCAGGTTGGCGTCTGAGGCTACGCTAAGTGGAGGCCTTCTCAGAGGTTTCTGGAAGACGCAAGTAAATCAAAAAAGAGAAAATTAAACCCTTATTAACCCAGAAGTACAGCAACTCAGACCACATTCACATACATGCATATGTGCATAGGCACACGCTCACACATGAACACTGGTATATGCTTGCATACACAAGTATCACGAGTACACACAAGTGTACCAGAGAAAAAGAGGAAGATCCCTCCAATGAGATGGACTGACACAATGTCTACAACAATGGGCCCAAACCTAACAACAATTGTGAGGATGGTATAGGTCTGGGCAGTTTTTCCTTCAGTTGCTATGAGTCGAAGCCAACACAATTGCACCTAACAACAACAATAACATGCATCTATATCAGAGTCCTAGTGTGGTGCTGTATGTAGGTTAATGTGCTGGACTGCAAAGTCATTTTGAACCGCAAGGTCGGCAGTTCAAGCCTATATAGGGTCGCTATGGGTCAGAACCGACTTGATGGCGAGATCGGTTTGAACTGCAAGATCAGTGGTTCAAATTCACCAGCCACTCCTTGGAAACCCTATACAGGGTCCCTGAGTCAGAACCGACTCAATGGCACTCAACAATAACAACATATTGGGTTTGGTTACCAAAATGGGACCCCTCTCACATACCAAAGAACTCTGATTTGAATCCTGGCTCTATCACAGACGGACTGACTTGACTTTGGGCTTCTTCCCCCATCTCTTTCAGGCTCAGTTTCTCTATCTGTAAAATGGCAACTACTAGTACCTGTTTCCCAGGGTTGCCTGAGCTTACGCATCTAAAGCGCTCAGTCCTGGGCCTGGCACATCATAGATGTGGTTAGATGGGGTCGTATTGACTGCAAACTCTAAGATCACAGTGTTTTTTCAGGTTTCGTCAGATAACACTCTGGTTACAAGGTGGTCAAGACAATGGGGTCTGGGAGTCACAGGGAAAGCCTCTGAATCTGAGTGTTCCTGAGGGTGTGTCTCTCTCCTCCCAGAGTCCCTGCCCTGTTGCCACATCCCTACCCTGGCTCAGCCCCACCCCTGCACATCCCAGGTGGAAGCGGAGCCTCACAGAGGGAGAGAGAGGAAAGCCCACAAGTGAGCAGGCGGAGCTTCTCTGTCCAAGTCTGGCCTGGCTGGAAGGGGAGGGGGCTGTGGGGCCAGGGGCGTCAGATGCCATCAGCTCCCAGGGGACTAATACAGTGGCTGTGCCGCCAGGTGGGCCAGCGTGTCTGCAGAGGTCCCCTGCCACCTCGACTGCCTCCAGTGGCCCACCTGGACTGCCCATCCTGGTAGGCAGTCCCTCGGCTTTCTCACTCTCTCTCCTTCCTCTCTGGTCTGTTTATCTTTTCTTCCTCTGTCTTTTCTCTTTCTACCTCTCCCATTTTCTGTCTCTCCGATTTTCTCCTTCTTTCCCCTATCACATTCTTTCCCTCCTCCTCTCTCTATCTCTCTCTTAGTCTTTCTTTCTAGCTCCTTGTCTCAGTATCTCTTTTCCTGTTGCCTTTTTGATCTTATTTTCTTTTTCTCTGATTCTCACTTTTCTTTCTTTATCTTTTTCTCTGCTCTTTCACTCTCTGCCATCTGTCTTATTCATCCTTCCTTCCTTCATTTTTCTATTTCTCAATCCTGCGACAACAGGGGCCAAGAGAGCTCTGCAAACTGCCTTGGGAACAGTTGGGTCCCTGTCGCTGAGAACACCATCTGAGCCCACTTGGAGCAGGGTTGGTAAGGAGGGTGCAGGCTGAAGAGGACTCAGTATTTCTCCTGGGCTGGTGGGACAGGCCCTGGTTTTGAAGTGGTTGCTGCGGTCTCACCCAAGGCCACTGTCTGGGAGCCACTGTCTGGGAATGTCTTTCCGTTGCCTGATCTGCTCCTTCCACTGGGGTGGGAGGGACGGGGATTGGGCACCTGGACCAGAGCTAGAATCAGGACGTCCTTGCCAAGTTCCCAGAGGTGGATCTTCTGGGCTGGCAATGCTGGAGAAAACACTTAGGGTTTTGTGCCCTAATATCTGCCCCATCCAGGCAGCTGGCCCTGACTACACACGGCAGACATGCCCCGCTCCAGACCAGTGATGCCTCTACTGCCCAGCACCATGTGCCTAGCAAGCCTGCTCTTCTGGACAGGCCAGACAGCAAGCACCTTGTTGATGTCCAATGCCACCCTGGTGCTGGTCCGGCCTGAGGTCACAGCCATGAGGCCCCTGACCAGCCTGGGGGTGCCTAGGTACCATCAGAAGCGCTACATCTCTGCCCTGGACATAAGTGCCCTATTGGATTATCACAACTCCATCCGTGCCAGTGTGTACCCACCTGCTGCCAACATGGAGTACATGGTGAGTCCCATGCCACCCACTCCCTTCTAGCAAATGCCAACGGACTCAACTTGGCCTGAGATGACTGGCTTTAAAGGGCTCTGGGTCCTGAGACCTGTGTTACAGGCTACGGGTTAGTCTGCTCATTTTACAGATGAGGAAATCAAGGAACTTGCACAGGTAAGTCAAACAGAGGACTACTATGCTGGTGTGGCACTGCAGGATAATGCTCTGGACTGGACCAAAAGATCAGTTTGAACCACAAGTCAGGAGTTCAAACCCACTAGCTGCTTCTCAGAAACCCTATACAGGGTCACTATGAATCGGAACCTACTTGTCGGCACTTAACAACAATAGCAACATTGTATACTAGGCACTAGACTAAAACCAAACCAAACTCATTGTTGATTCTGATTTATGGTGATCCTGTGTGTTACAGGGAGTCCTGGTATGACACTGTAGGATAAGCACTCAACTTTTAACCACAAAGTTAGTGCTTCAAACCCACCAGTTGCTCCTTGTAAACCCTATACAGTGTTGCTATGAGTCAGAACCGACTTGATGGCACTTAACAACAATCTTTACAGAAGCAGATTGCCAGTCTTTTCTTCCGTGGTGCCACTGGCTGGGTTCAAATGGTCACCCTTTAGGTTAGTAGTGTAGCACATGGATCTTTTGTGCCAGGCACTCAAAATCCCAAACCCACTGCCACTGAGTCGATTCTAACTCACAGGGACCCACTAGGACACAGTCTACTCCTTAGGGCTTCCACAGCTATAAATCTAGAGAAGCAGACAGCCTCGTCTTTCTTCTGGTTTGGGTCTGAACCTCTGACTTTGCAGGTAAGCTCAGTTCTTAACCCTTTGTGGCCACCAGAGTTCCTTTGTCATCAGACCCTTGTTAAATGCCGTGGAATCGGTTCCAACTCATAGCAACCCTGTATAGGGCTTCCAAGGAGTGGCTGGGGGGTTGGAACCACAGACCTTGTGGCTAGAAGTTCAGAGCTTATCTTACAGTTCCACTCCAGGAGTCCATCTAGGTATATGTTAATTCAGGTGCTCCTCTTCCTTCAAGGCAGGTATTGTCATCTCCATTTCCAAATAAAGAAATTGAGACTTGGAATATTAATTTGCCTGAGGCCACCTAGCCCAGCTTCCAACCCAGGTCTGTCTGATTTTAAAGCTTGAAGTTTTATGACTCTGAGACCAGAAGAACTAGCTGGGAGGGCCCGGCTACCATTACCAACTGCTCTGAAAGGGATCACATGGAGGTTCTGGATACAGTGGGAGAAAATGTGGACCAAATCCCAAAATTATATATATATATTTACACTGGGTTTACTGGTCATAAAGAGACACAAGGAACCTGAGACTATGACCCTCAACCACCCTTCAAGTCTGGAATGGAATTCAGCCTCATGGTCCCCTTGTCAGCCAGGCAGTAGGTAGGTGCATAGAGGAGACAACCACACTAGTAAAGTATTCTAACCATGAATGGTCGATTATTCAACATCAAAGGAGCAACATTTACCTAAGGACAAAGTTAAGAAAGGATGGGAAGGTGGGTGGAATGGACACAGGAGACACAAGGAAGACGTAGGATGACTTTTGTTACCTGGAGGAGATTACAATCATTGAGATGAAACAAAGTGTTGTTGTTGTTGTGTGCCATGGAGTCGGTTCCGACTCATAGCGACCCTGTACAGGGTTTCTGAGGCTGTAAATCTTTACGGGAGCAAAAAGCCTTGTCTTTCTTCCGCAGAAAAGCTGGTAGTTTCGAACTGCTGTCCCTGAGGTTCACACCCCGATTCGTAACCACTACGCTACCAGAGCTCCTTGAAACAAAGTATAGAATTCATTTAATGTAAAATGGATGATCTTGTCCGTAAACCTTCACTCAATGCACTATAAAAAATAATAAAAGCTTGAGGTTTTAACCAATACATTGTTGTTAAGTGCCATTGAATCGGTTCTGACTCAGCAACCCTGTATAGTTTCCAAGCCGCAGTTGGTTGGTTTGAACCACCAATCTTGTGGATGCTTATCATATAGCGTCACATTATCTTGCTCAAATTCTTTGCTACCCACTGAGGCCCTACAGGGGTGGGGTGGGGGTAGTTGCAGCTTTCTAAGTATCTGTTTGCCTAAGGGATTTGGCTGACACCTTCTCTTAGCAGTCTTTGGAGCTGGGAGTAGGGATGAGAAGACAGGTACCTGGAAGGTGGGCTGAGAAAAGCCAGCAGATAAGTACTGGATTGTGAACTACTAGGTCTGTGGTTCAAACCCACCAGTCACTTAACAAACAGCAACTATCAGTGAGGGGAATGCCCTGGTAACAGAGTGGGCTACACATTGGGCTGCTAACTGCAAGGTCATCAGCAGTTCTAATTCACCAACCGCTCCATGGGAGAAAGCTGAGTCTTTCTGGTCCTGTAAAGATTTACAGTCTCGGAAACCCTACGCCAGGGTCACTATGATTAGGAACCAACTCTACAGCATGCAGTAGCAACTATGAGGGAGGCTGAAACATCTTCCCTCAAAGAGGCAGAGCCAGAGGCTCACATTCCAGTCTCCCAAAAGAATCCAGGCATGGAGGTGGGAACCTTCCCTTTATCGCAGCCCCTCCTCCCCTGGGACCATTGTCCAAGCCATCTAGGAGAGATATGCTTCCAGCCCACCTGGAGATTTATCTAGACAAAGATATTGCCTCTACTCTCTTCAAGACAATTGTGTGTTGCTCAAAAATCTGAGAATGCTTAGGCTTCTGTAGAGTGTCCACTCATTTATGCACTAACACTGCTAAGAGCTTTTGTGGCTATCGCTGAGGACAGGATGGACATGCTCTCTAACCCCATGAAGCTTAGAG